TCGTAAAAAAAACATAAATAAATAAAATAAAATAAAATAAAGTAAAATTAAAAAAAAAAGATTCTGATCTGAAGAATGTTCTAGGTCAATGCACAGCCCATAGCTAATGAGATGGTGAGATATGCCAAAAAGAAGCAAGCATGCGTCAAGCTTCTGTGTCTGCATTATTATGGCATTTGATGTCCAGCGGTTTTACTTTTCCAGATACATCCCTTATTCCACCTGAATCAAACCTTCTATTTTCTGAATCTTGGAATGGATAGTAATGAACGCTTGGTACTCAAGAATTCTAAGATGACCAATTTCACTTTTTTCTTGAGGGGGGTTTCCAGTCCCATTACAATAACGTAAAATTCTACAATATGGCAGTGGTGAAAAATAAATAAATAAAACTTGTGAAGTGCTTTATACTCCAGGGTCTAGAACAGTTTTTTTAAAAAAGGAAGCTTAGTAATCTTATCAGTTAAGAATGTAGACACAGTGAGATCACTGAATACTTAACTGACGAAGTTACACGAATCCAAATGAAGTAGAAACTGTCCTCTCTCATTAAGGCTATCTGTGGTTTACTGACAGATGATATGCCTGAACTCTCATTTGAAAAATAAAGCTAAATTAAGCCTCTTTGCTCTCTGTCTTTAGAGCATGATAACAGAAGACAGCAAGGGCAGATACGGTTGTGCAAGCTGATCAATGGCGGATGGCAATGAGAGGTGAAAGGAGAAACCACCACATAGATTCACAGGCCTAAACAGACAGCAATGGAATGCTTCCTCCTGAAAAGGAAGGATCTAGTCATACTTAGGATTTTAGATTCAAATCCAAAAGAGGAAATGGAAAAATAGTATCTATTTTGCCTATTGGAGTGATCTCCAAGAATAGAGGGGAATATATACTGTTCTATCCTGAAAGGTAAATGAGGTATGTCTAGTTTAGCTATACTTTGTCAGACACCTCTCACCCTCAACACATCACTGTCAGGAGCCAATTACTGAAAAACAACTACCACACAAACACCGGGTACATGATGTTCTCAGATAGACTAGTATAAAGAAGTGCTCAGCATCAGAAATAATGCTGTTAAGTCTTAGAAAAGTCCCCTTTAAAAATAAATGGTTAAGGGACCAGCAGATGGCATAATGGTTATGTCACTGGACTCCCAGCTAGTCTTGTTATTCAAGTCCCAGACCCAGTGGTATAAAACTCACATCAGGCATGTGTATGTGCATGCCCAAAGTCGCAAGAGGAGAAGGGAGAATAAGGGATTATGGCATGGCCACCCCCCTGGGCGGTGACTTCTCACTTTCTGTCTCTTTGTTTCTGTCTAGTGAGCACACATGTCCTATAGCAAAAATCTCTCTAAAAAAGGGAATCTTCAAAAGACCCTTCCAGTCTATATTCTCTATCACTAGCTGAAAGGAATATTATAAAATTCCTTTCCAATTCTGGTACTCAGTTAAGACAAATAGTAATAAAATAAAACAGGCCCAGCTGTGGTGGTGCCACAGTAACGCAGCTCTGCAAGGCTGGAGGCCACATGGGGGTCTGGGTTCCAGGTCAACCTGTGTGCAATGCCAAACACGCACGCAAGCCTATGACTGTGGCTGGCTGGGAAGGCTGGCTGGGGGTCGGGGTGGGGGGTCTAGGGAGGTGGGTGAAGCTATGAGACCCTATAGAGGGTGCTTGACTTTCTCACTCATAAAAGATATAAATAAACTGTATTGAAAAAAAAATCAAACTTATGAAGATGAAAGTTGCAAAATTTCCTCACAGTTTAAAAGAATACATGAGGATTACAGAACCAAACTATTTTACTGGCAAAAAAAGAGTTAAATAAATAAAAAAGATTGCCACTGCATGAAAAACCTTGATACATACTAAGCAAAGTACAGTGGGTGAGGTAGGGAAATGGGACTTGGGACTGGGCCAGGCCTCAGGGCTGTGAAAGGGCAGTAACAGTTACCTTGTGTGGGAAGCAGCGTCATTTATACTGAAAGTGCTGTTCTCTCTTGACAGAGGGTTCGAGCTGGCTTGGCTCTTGCTGTGGATATCCAAACTCAGGGAGGACTCTGCCTTCCGGTCCATGCTGTGGCTCTCTGTCTCTAAAGTCCGATCTGCCATGGAGATCACCTCACTAGAGCTATGCCACAGGGGCGCCACTTTCTCCTTGCCTGGCCCTGAGCGAGGCGACGACGTGGCAGCCCCCAGCGAGGCTGTGCTGCCGTGGCTGGGGCCATAGGAGGTGGTGTCGATGCCGCTGTCCGCAGAGGTGCCCTGCAGATAGTTGTAGCTGTTGAGTTCGGATTCTGTGCGGTCCCCATCGTACCACTTCTCATCGCTGTGGGCACTCGATGCGTTGCTGGAGAGGGTATTGCTACTGGAGTGGCTCGAGTAGTGGCTGTCAGACTGCAAGGGAAGCATGAACTACTTAAGTGCAAGGTTTTGCTTCCTGAATGCCAGAGGGAAGTAATGAGATATGAAAGTGTGGCAGGCTTAGGAAGTTCTCAGGGCACAACATTTTCAATAATGACAAGTCAAAGTAAGATGGGCAGTGCCTGTGTCTCTGGCTCATTCAATAGTGGCCATGGCAGAAAGCGTTGGAAATAGTTTATTTTTTGTCTTTTTCAGAGTCCATTTTTCATTATTTGATTTATGCTAAAAAATAGCAGTATTGAGATAATTTTAAGCAGAAAAAAATATTTATTGAATTTTATCTATTATTACTTTTGAAAAATTTGCTATACGGCACATGTGCTCACCAGAGAGACACAAAAAAGGAGAGAAAGTGAGAAAGCAAGGCACCAGGTCCAGGACTCAAACCATAGTTGGCCATGTGGGAGTATAGCACCTTAACCACTATGCCACCTGCTGGCCCAAAGTCTTCCATTTTAAAATAGAAAGGAAATGATACTTATAAAGGTCTTATAATTAGAAGGCATGCTTGAGTCTAAAAGGCCTACTGCTCAGAATAAATACAAGGCTGAGTATAAGACTGATTCCTGAAGGCACTTCCTTTTTATTCCCCAATTACCATCTATTTAGAAGAACACACTCTAGAGAATGCTTAGAATAAAATTTATACAGAAGCGCCAAAATAATTCAAGAGAAAAAATGTTCACCTTATTTAACAAATGGTTCTGGACAACTATATGTCCATATGCAAAAGAAGAATGAAGTTGAATCCTTACCACATAGAAAAATCAACTTGAAAAGGGTCAGAGAGCTAAAACTATAAAGTTCTTAGTAGAAAACACAGGTGTAGGGACCAGCAGATGGTATAATAGCTACATTGCTGTACTCCCATGTAGTTGACTGCGGTTTGAGTCCTGGACCCAGTGGCTTAAACTCACGCCAGGCAAGTGTGTGTGCGTGCCCAAGATCCCGAGAGGAGAATGGAGGAGAAGGGACTGCGGCATGGCCATCCCCCGGGGGTGATTTCTCACTTTCTGTCACTCTCTGTTTTTCTGGTGAGTGCATGCGCCCTATAGCAAAAACCTCTCCAAAAAAGAAAGAAAGAAAGAAAAAACACAGGTGTAAGTTTCTGTAACCTTGGATTACACCAAATGGTTTCTTAGATAATTGCAAAAGTACAAAGAAAAAAAAAATAAGCTGAATTTCATCAAAATTAAAAGAAGTTTTGAGTTTCAAATAGCACAATTTAAAAATGGGCAAAAGATTTGAACAGATATTTCTCCAAAGAATATACACAAAGGCCCAATAAGCACATAAAAGATGCTCAATATCACTAGGGAAATGAAAATCTAAACCACAATAAGATACTACTTTACACATACCAGGATAGTTATAAACAAACAAACAAACAAAAGCATATAGTAACTAGTGTTGGCATTGTAGAGAATGTAAAATGGTCATTATGGGAGACAGCTGCACTCTTGGTATACCCCCCCCAAAAATGAAAAACAGTAACATAAAAACTAATACGTGAGTGCTAACAGCAATATTGCTCATACCTAAAAAGTGGAATTAGCACAGATGTCTCTCAACTGATACATGGATTTTAAAAAAGGGTATGCCCATACAATGGAATATCATTCAGCTATGACAAGAAATGAAGTACTTTTCTACACTGCTACTACGTGAATGAACCTTAGGAACATTATGATCCATGAAAGAAGCCAGACACACAAGGCCACAGTATGGTATCATTTCAGTCCAGAGGAAGCCAAATTGAGAAAGAGTGAGAGCAAGAGAGAGAAAGAGGTATTAGTGGCTGTCTGGGTCTTGCAGGAGATGAGAAGAGTCAGGAGTCACTGCAAAAGGTTATAGGGTTTTACTGGGGGTGATGAAAATATTCTGTTATTAGTAGTATTATTTGTGTAATGCTGTGAGTAAAGACAACTGAATTGTACACTCTACATGAGTAAATACTATGGTATGAGAATTATATATTTCTTTTCTTTAAACGATTATTTAATTTATTTATTATTTATTTAAATTTGACCAGAGAGGGACAGAGCAAGAGAGAGAAAGGGGGAAAATGAGAAAGCAAGCTGCCAGGTCTGGGACTCAACCAGCAGTCAGTCATGTGGGAGTCCAGAGCCCTTAACCACCATGCCACCTGCTGGCTCCAGAGAATTATATCTTAATTTAAAAAAATGGGTACAGAACCCTCTGTGGCTTACATGCTTAGAGCCATTTTATAGAAATACAATGTTCCAGAGAAATGATGTTAAAACATATCTGAATACAGTATCTTGTCACAGAAGACAAGAAATCCACACATTTGTTGTAGATTAAGAGAAAAGGGAGAGAAGAAATTATGTGTGAGTGTGTGTGTGTGTGGTATCTTTCTGTGGAGGAAGTAACAAGCTCTTCACTGGCCAACTGTAGGGGTGGCTGGAGGACATGACAGTGTCAGTTCAAAGTGAAACATCTCTTCTCCTTAAAAAATAATTTGCTCTTACTTTACTGGTATTACTTTAGTTTTCTTAATAACAACTTATAAAGTGGTGTTATTATGGCTTTACTTATTTTTTTGTTGGGCAGAACTTCTTTAGTTGAAGACCTATGCTATCAAATCTGGTAGCTTATGGAGTATTTGAAATGTGGCTACTTTGAGTTGAGATGCACTCAGTGTAAAGCACATAACAGATTTCTAGAGAAATGCGATGTGAGCAATACAACTGAAATATCCTAGTGGTCATATTTTAAAAATAAAAAGAAACAGGTGAAATTAATTTTAGTAGTATATTTTATCTGCGTCCAAAATATTATTTTACCATGTAATTCATATAAAAGTCATTAATGAGGGGCAGCATTCTTAAGGTACTGGACTCTCACATGGGTGACCACAGTTCAAATCACGGACCTGGCAGCTTGCTTTCTCACTTTTTCTGGTGAGCGCATGTGCCCTACAGCAAATTAAATAATAATAAATAAAATTAAATAAATACTTTAAAAAATAATTAACGAGGGAGGGAGGGAAAGTCCATAGATTGATTGGGATAATCTATTAGTGACAAAAAGAACTTGTGACAATATTATATTTCCTCTGTAACTCTCCCTTCACAGAACATTATGTATGGCGTATTCGCTATCTCTTGCTTCTTTAGCTTTAATACACATCCTCTAGAGCAACTCTTATTTAAGCCTTCTCATTAGAAGTTTTCTGATTACTTTATATATGAGTGAATATGAAATACAGCATTTCCGGGTCCAATAGAATGACGCGAATGTAACTATACATCCCAGTGAGTAGAATCAACTGCAATCAACTGCACTGTAAAAGAGGGGGGAGGGAGAATGATCTCCTCTTAATGGCAGCTGGAGAAGTGATAAGGAATTACGCATTACTCTGGTAGAAGGACAGAACGTGTGTAGTTATGGAGGTAAGAGAGGCAGGACAGGGAGTCATAGGGGGAGCTGTCAGTCCCCTTGACTGATGCTCTAACTATAATATAGCTCATGCTTACAATCATGTAAGAAAAACAATCTATTTGTAGTGTGTCGCTAATTCCTAACATTTGAGGATTGTTTGTGATGGAATCAGATGATCTCCCATCCAGATCTGTGGGGTGACAGGGGCTCACCACTGAGAAATTAGTTTCCCTCAAAGCAACCTTAGGGTCATGGCAGCAGAAATTCCAAGGCCATGGTAACAAACGCCTCGCTTCTGCCAGGATGACCTCTTTGATCATGCAGAGGAGAGAGCAGAGCACACTGGTATCATTTCCACACTGCAAGGAAGGTACACTGCTAGAAATCGATTACTTTTATACCTTTATAGTTAACTTACATGCCCTTGTTTGTTTGGAGACAAATGAACCACTGGATCCTGCCGCATTAATCTCCCACTGGGGCTCTCTCGGAACGTGGGCAGTACCTTTGATACTGCTGGGAGATGGCATGTTGGCTCTGGAATACAGCATAGAACATTATGGTGCAGGCACTAACTTGGTTCAGGCACAAGTTGACAAATGAAGACGGCTTGCCATTGCATCTTTCAGTTCACTGACCAGCAAACTCTGCATTTGAGCAGGAAGCTTGTTAAAGGTCTGCACAATAGACAGCATGTCAGAAACTAAGTGGCTGATGGATAAAGCTTGCAGCTGGTGACAACGTGTCACGTCATACACATTAGCATAGCCAAGTACCACCAAACCAAAGGCCATGAACAACGCAGCAAAAGTTCAAAGTCAACTTTTGGTTTGGGGAATAAGTTAAGAATACACGAATTAAATTGACAAAACTAGTTCATTGCAAAGAGTAGCTAACCTAGCTTGGTCTACATTACCTACACAGGCATGGATGCAATCACGTGTTACTTACCATGACACTTTGGAAATATTTTACCTGTATATTCATGCTGCTCGAGGACAAAAGAATTGAAATCCTGAGGTCCTCTATAACTGTAAGCTAAGCACAACAGAAAAGACACACAGCAACTAGTTTACTTCAAACAATTGCTTCCTTTTGGACTCCAAGCTGGTGTTCAAGATGGGGTTCCAAAACTGAGAAGTAAATGATTTAACCTCTTTAACACACCTACAGTTAACAGCAAGAATTCCAACTTCTCACATCCTTCCTAACATGTAAAAGACTGGCATACTCTTTGACTCTTGATTCTCAACCATTTCCAGAAGCAGAGAAGCAGAAAAACAAACATCCATGGAGATGAATGAGCCAATTAAGCAAACTAAGCTCCTGCCTCAATGTCACTAGGGTACCTGTTTAGAATATACCGATATGCGAGGACAGGTGGCCTACCTGACAAGTAAGAATCGCTTAAGCATCTTTTGATCAGTGCAGGTCTTTAGAGAATTTAGTTCTTATAAACTAAGTGTAGACAGATCAGCCCTGAAGCCATTGTGTTACGTAGTGAAGATGTAACAATAGTTTGTCTTGAATTCTTCCTAGAACAGTTTATACCAACTAAGCCCTGTATTGTTGCTGATGTGCCAGTTAAAAAAGGTTGGGGTATTCTCCTGCAATGCTGGGGGTATCTGAAATTTATAAAAATGCATTTTGACATCTTATTTGAAGCCCTTTTTTTTTTTTTCATGAAAAAGGCCAACAGCTGGACCTCTCATACTGTGGTGAAAGCAGCTTCTTTGCCAGCTGTAAGAGTATCTTCTAATAAATAAAAACAAACAAATGTAAAAGGAAAAAATCCTTACCAAAAGGATGAGCAATTGTATGAAACAGATTCATCCATATTGACTTTAAAGTTTTATCTACTGGGACCAGCAGTTAGTGTAATGGCTATGTCGCTGGATTCCCACGTAGTTGACTGCGGTTCAAGTCCTGGACCCGGTGGCTTAAAAACTCACGCCGGGAGTGTGTGCGTGTGTGCCCAAGATCCCGAGAGGAGAATGGAGGAGAAGGGACTGCGGTGTGACCATCCCCCCTGGGGGGTGATTTCTCACTTTCTGTCTCTATGTCTCTCTCTGTCTGGCGAGTGCACACGCCCTATAGCGAAAACCTCTCA